TAAGAGAATATTCATTCAAATTTATTCCAATCAAATTTACCACATAGGTGCACTTTGAAGTTCAACAATAACTGATTGTAGTCCATCTGCTTCTCTGCAAAATTGAGTGTAGATACAGAACCATGACAATCTGATAAACCATTTGAATGGTTAAATATTTCTTTGCCACTTAGTACAAAGTCACATCCACAATGTAATGATGGTCAGTTACTAAAACGTAAAGTAAAGTTTTTACTGTTATAAGTTAAAGGACGTTTTTGCTAATGGTGAATCCAGAAACAACTTCACAACTATTGGTGTCTGTAAAAATGTTCACTGCTAAGTAAAGACACTTTTGTGAAACACATTAAATCAGATACAAAACATTAAAAAGCAGAACACACCAAAGATGTCAGTTTCCACCTGCACCCTGACATGGATGAGTTAAAGCATTTAAAACAGTGAAAGTGTAAAGAACACAAATTCAGTTCAAAGGAATGATGCAGCATTGATCTTACCTGAGATACAGAGGAGTAACACAAAGAGAATTAAAGAACTCCTGAGTGAGTAAAAGTGCATGTTTCTGTAAGAGACTCCAGTCACAAATACTCTTCCTGCCTCTGAGTGAAGCAGCTCCACTTCAGTGCTCTTCCTGTTTCTACCTTTTTCTTGGTACTTTGACTCTCTGAGACTACTCTGACTGATTTTTTGAGACATGGTTATGCTTTTATCTTTTAGTGTTTTGACAGGGTAGATTTCTCTCATTATCACTGTAAAATGAAGCTGAAAACAACATACATTTTTTCAGAGCCTTTTTTACTAAACTTTATAAAGGGTGTTAATAATTCTGGAGGAATTTAAACACAATTGCCTGATCCAAATTTCTGGACTCCAGACTCATGGACTATGGTCTTGTGGATTTTGGGCACTTGCAACCGTTGCAAGCATCTCAACTTCTTCAAATAAGGTTCAGAAAACAGCCATTCAAAATGCTGATAAAGTGTCACCTGAGTATATTAAACAACATCATTTTAAATTATGGATTTGACTGAGTCATCACACAAGAAAAGGTTTTAGAAGATGCTCTCTTGGAAGGCTGAAAATGAGATCTTGGCTGACTTCGTGTAAGGTTAGTTAATTTTTCAGGTTGTCAACTTTACTGTAACTAGCTTACCTAGCCAGCTAAAGGTAATAGCTTTTTAAGCTGCTTGTTCCACTGTTTACTGATGATTTCCATTGTTAGATGATGACCCATAATTCTACGAAAAGCTCAAATTCAGCTGGCATTTAAATGAGCTTTATTCCAAGGCTATAAAATTCTTGAAATATGTAAATAACACCTTGTTGATGACTTTATATAGCATGAATGATACAATGCACCAAAAAATAGAGTTTATCATATAATGCCAGCCTAAAACTTAGTTCACACAAATATAAGGAGATTCACTCGAAAGAGGCCCCGAAAAGTCTGTTGTAACTCCTGTTAGGATGCAGCAATCTGATACAATAAAATACGCTACATACCTTGACATATGTGTAATCGATTGCATTACATGCGATGCTGGAAGTGATCTCCATTTTCTGCCAGACACATGAAGGGGTATGGGGGTAAGCACCCGGAAGCTGCAAACACAGGTTAAACGTCGCGACGGCTGTCCAGCGCCTACCTCTTCGCTTTGACGCAGGGGCATCCCGGCTTGTTCGAAGCTCCATATACTGATTGCTTCATCCTAGAGAGAGTTATTACAGAATATTCAGGGCTTCTTTCAAGTGAATCTCCCTGTACTACCTCTGCATGGCGTGAACAATGCAAACATCTAGCATGATACAAAATACATTGAAATAAACTAAAAAAAAAAATAAACAACAATTCATGGCGATAATAAAACAAAGTATTAAATAAACATTTCGTGCTACATTCTCATTTCTTTATAGACTTTTAGAAATGAAATGTTTGCCTAATCACAAATCAGAAAACTGCCGAGGGTAAACAAACGCAGCATGCTCTCTGACAAAGGATCTTTTTATTAATCACGTAAAGAAACTGATTTATCAGAAAAAGAATGTCTGTAGAACTTGGTTACGAGTGGTGAGAATTTCCAGTATAGTCTTGCTGTACCACTCCACTGTATGTATGAATGGCTAATGTGTGTAAGCTGCAGCCGTCACAGTGCTGCTTCACTCTTACCACTCAGAAGTAGTTTGTGTAAAAGAGGCCTAAGTATCACTTCTGTGTGTACTATCATTAGACGTTCTCTGTTTGCGAATTATCTAATAAATATTCCTGTGCAGGAATACTTATTAGAAAATTATTTCAGCCTTTCTCTTTAGGCCTCTTAATGGCCATTGTGCTGGTTGAATGGAAATTGATGCTGATATTTTTAATATATTAAACTAAATTATTAAATATTTTTTCCCTGTAACTCTATCAGATTAACCAGGACTCTGACATCTCTCTGAACAGGTCAGCTAAGAGACCTGCTCCAAAACATGCAGAAATCACATATGGCTATTGTAAAAGAGCTTAAAGCTGCCATTTGAACAACAGTTGGAAATAACTTCGGGTTTGTGGGTTGTTTTTTTTTTGTTGTTGTTTTGTTTTGCACTGAAATGATGTTACAGCTGCATTTTAAATATCTCTCTTGGGGCACTCCAAGGAAATGATAGCATTTAACTGTTTAAATCAAGGTTTGCAGGGGGAAGCGACCTAAAGGCCTCTGTGAGTCTTACTTTTTGTTCTGTTGGATAAGAGATGATATTTCAGTGCTAGTGAAAAACAACAGGTTACTAAAGTGTTTCTCGAGATATTCCACTAAACTGGCATTCCAAGATAAAGACTTTCAAAGACTTCCTCCATATTTTATGTTACTCTTTGTGCTTATTGCTACATGCAAGCTAACACTGCTGGCAACAAAAACCAGCAAGCTTAATCAAATGTGGGAGTTAAGCTGCTTTAGCAGTTGTAGCCTAAAGTTTGAGGAGCTGGTGTTGTTTTAGAGATGACGTACAGTATGAGACTTTCATTTCGCATCATTTCAGTGTGCATGAGTGTTAGCTTGCTTGTAGCATAGATGTAGCAATATTCATATTTCAGTTGACATCCTCTCAGCTCAGAGGATCCAGTGACATTCAGAGGAAAAATGTATGTAGGACAAAAATTATCGGCTTTGGACCATCTTTGTTTACCACAGGGTGCAGTAGCAGCAATTTCTGAAAATGGCCCAACCCCTTTGATTCTACCCCTTTGACATAGAGTTTCTTTTATGATGCTGGAGTTCACAGGCCTTTTAATGGTTCATTACACTGATGGACAGTCTGTAGTTACTATGTATAGTCACTTGTGAAGTGGAAAGCAGAGAAGGCATCAGCTATGTAGTCCACGCTAACTAGTAGCTACATTACATGAAAGACTAGCTGTTAATATGAGAACATTGACTTGTTGTAGCATGAAACATGACAAAATGACAACAAACGTCACACAATTGACATATCGCTTAAGAAAATAAAGAATTAATACAAACAAGTAACTAATGTTTTTTTTTAGACTATTAAAAGAATTAACCACTACCTGATGGCACTAATAACATAGCATAGTGTTTCAATGCTGGCAGAGTCATCTGCAGTATTATTCATCTTAATCTGCCATCACTCAAAATGATAAAATACATTATTGAGAATCTTTATGGACAAAAATTAGGAAATTGCTGATCATTCATGTCCAAATAGATTAAGCACTTTTATTGCCATTTGAGCATTGAACTTAGTCAGCAGTGCATGTACTACTGCCACCAACTTCTTAAACTGGAGAAGTGTTGGTAGTGCGTAAGAAGATGAGTACAGAACACCAGCTGCTATTGTACAGTGCAAAGGTCAGAGACCACTTTCCTTTATTGAATAACTTCTCACAGTGGAGCTTTTCCCCTATTGCTCAAAGCTTTAAGTGCTGCTTATCTGATGGTGAGAGGTTTGGTGGTCTACCAGGTATTGAGTCCCATTCTCTCTCTCACTTTTATTAATTTTTCATTTTATTTTCAGCTTTGAAAACTCCTGTTTTTAAATTATGTTCCTCTGGCTTTGTCTTTATTCAAGCAGATCAGGTTATATATAATCTCTTTAACCTAAAAAAATAACTTGTACTTAATAACCATGTTGTTGTAAATGTACAGAAGTAACCTGTTACATTTTAACAGTATACATGGAGCAAAAACAGAATTTTTCTTCTCTTTTACTTGTACTATGCTGGAAGCCAACATGTCTGATGCAGTTCAAAATCTGGACAGCAGGAGGCACAGCACACTAAAAGACTCATGATTTAAACTGCAAACAAGCTTTCGCCCAATCTAAATCCCCAGAACTCTCTAGACTTGTGTAGGGATGTGGTGCTGTCTGTCTAACTGACATTCAACTATAATGTAAGCTGCATCATGCAAACTTCTAGAGAGGCTGTTTGGGGTGCAGACTTTAGCAGACTTTACTTGTGGAATCACTATTCATTCAGAGTGAAACAGACAAGACAGCAAAAACTAAACAGGAAAAATATTTAATGAAAAAAATATAAATTACAATCACACAATAAAAGGTCCTCCACTGTACAAACTACACAATACATGCACAAATGTCCAAACTTGGGGTCAACGTCATAACGTCAAATAAGGAAGCAAACTGAGCTGAAGTCCACACTCATTTGATGCTTGTAACCCCAGGGCCTTGCAGATTTCATGCGATAACAACAAGAACATCACAAAATGTATGACCGAAATCCACGAAACCATAGTCCACGAGTCTGGAGTCCAAATTTGGATTGGCCATTTGTCTTTAAATTCCTCCAGAACTATTAGCTCCTTTCATAAATTTCAGTAAAAAGCCTTTGAAAAATATCCGTTGTTTTCAGCTTAATTTCACAGCGATAATGAGAGAAATCTAACCTCTCAAAATACTAAAAGAAAAACAAAGCATAACCATCTCAAAAAAAGTCAGAGTAGTCTCAGAGAGTCATAGTACCAAGAAAACAGAAGAAACAGGAAGAGCTCTGTAGTCAAGCTGCTTCTATCACCAGCAGGAAGAGCGTTTGTTATTTGAGCCTCTTACAGAAACATGCGCTTTTACTCACTCATGAGTTCTTTAATTCTCTTTGTGTTACTCCTCTGTATCTCAGGTAAGATCAGTGCTGTATTATTCCTGTACAGTGAACGTTCTTTACTTTTTCACTACTTTAAATGTTTTTATACTGACATTTATGATCTGTTCTTTTTTACCTTGGCCTCTTAAACATCATTGTGTAGTGACTGACTTTTTATACTGATGCTGATTTTTTTTACTCTGACATTCACACCAACAGTTTTGAAGCAGTTGTTCAGTGGGACTAATATTGCTGCTTAATTTGACTTCTGTTCTGCAGGTTCTGAGAGCCTGAAGACACTGAAGAATTTAGCTGTAAAACGTGGAGGATCTCTCAGTATTCCATGTGTTTATGATGAGAAATACAAACCAAACCTTAAATACTGGTGTCAGGGGTATCACTGGTCCTCCTGCCAAATAGTAGCCTATACAAACACAAGTGGAACAACATCAGTCACTGATCATCCAACCCAGAACATGTTTACTGTGGAACTGAATAGTCTTCAAGACTCTGGATATTATTGGTGTGCTGTGGAAATTGGTGGGATATGGACCCCTGATGACAGGGATTATTTATACCTGACGGTCAGTTCAGGTAAGAAGTCTCTCTGTGCAAAGCAGAAAATGTTCACTGTAACTTCAAATATTATAAGATGTCTCATTTATAGTGGAGTTCATGTTTACACCACTCATTCTCTGCCTCTTTATTCAGATCCTGCTGTGTCAGTGATAAACAGTAGAGTGAGTGGTCAGGAAGGGGACAGTGTCAGTGTCCAGTGTCTCTACAGTGCTAAATATCAGAATAAACAGAAGAAGTGGTGCAGATTTAAAGACTGGAGCTGCTTCACAGTGGGGAGGACTGATACATCCCATAATTCAGCAGTGCTGGCCAGTGATGATGGAAAAGGATCCGTCAGTGTGAAGATGAGGGGTCTGCAGAAGAGTGATGCTGGCTGGTACTGGTTCAGTGCAGGAGATGTGGGGGTTACTGTTCACCTCACTGTCATTACTACAGGTAAACACTTCATTCTTCAGACTTTACTCTGAAGTTCCTTGCCTTGTATTGGCATGTGGTCCCAAGTATATTTCTGCTCTCAATTTACTTCACACTCTCTACAGGTGGAGATGAGATGCGAAGTAAAGATGAAGGATCACAGCTGTAAGTACTGAGCTATATTTATGCTAAATTTATGTTTTATTTGTTATTTTATTTCCTTGACACTAAGAATATTAGATAAAATGTGCGATTTCAGTGTTTTTTGGCCAATAATATGCTATAGATTTAGTGGGTGCATCTGAAACAGCTAGAATAGCTCTGGTGTTCTGAGGCCAACTTCAATACACAAATGATTACCAAATGAAGCTTCCAGTTCATGTCAAGTGGATAGCACTTAAACAGTTATATTGGAAAAGCATACAGTGGTCAATGCTACATTTCACTGAAATGTAAGACTTGAGGTGTCATTTCCTGCAGGCTACAAATATGATACTGAACAAAACTAGTAAGGAAGTAGTGTTTGGAGATATTCTTACACTACTGAACCTCTTCAGAGAGAATGCATCTATTAATAAGTGTATGAACAGAGAGTAAAGATCTCACATCATCTGACTCACTGCAGTGATGACACCACACTGGCTCTCACCATAATCGCTGGGCTGTTTCTGCTGCTGACATTGGTTGGTTTGGTCATCTGGAAAGTTAAGTATAAACAAAGTAAGTATTTTGTTCCACAGGAACAGCACTGTGCCTGCAAAACACCCATTGATTTATTGGTTGACTGGTGCCACACAAGTATTATCTGGTCAACAACTACCCTGTTGTCATTAACTGACCAATGATGGCTGGGGAACAGTAGGAGTGGTGACCTCCAGTCTGAGAGGGTGACAGCACTGCAGAGTTTAGCATCCTATGGAATTTAACATACTCAAGAATAACTCAAGTGTGGCTAGTTTGGTATTCTCTTTTGGGTTAACCAGTGTGAGTGGATAGATTATACACATCATGCCTCTCTCTCTCTCTCTGTTTGGTACAGGACCAATGAGGTAATTAAACACATTTTACTCTGAAATAGCTCTGACAGTAAAGACCACAGCTTTTCTAAGATCAGACCGGACGTGACCTTCCACCATTAAAAATGAGTCCAATGTGACCATTCCACTTTAAAATCAGTTTTACTGAACATAATCGTCAATTCTTGTTAGCAAATTTTTCAAGTGAATTTTAATTTCAGTCAAATTTCACTCAACTCATGCCAAGAATGTATGCACCTACCTCCTTTTCATTCCTGGTTCTTAAGATTCTAAAAAATTGACACCATAGAAAAGCATTGCCAACAAAACAGGATGCTTTGGAGAGGCCAGATATATTCCACCAGGGTACCATGCTCAATTCCAATTGTCAGCTAGAGGGGTATAAAGCCCCCCAGCATTGTGCTTTGGAGCACTCCATCACTTCACACCTTCCAATACCTCTATAGTGATGATTCTGATCTAGAATTAATCATCCAACATCAGTATCTGACCTCTCTAATGTTCTTGTGGCTGAATGCAATCAGATCTTCACAGCAATGTTCCAACATCTTGTCTAAAGCCTTCTCAGAAGAGTAAAGGCTGTTACTGCAGCAAAGGGGACAAACTCCCTAATAATACTCTTAATTTCAGAAGAAACATTTGCAATAAATAGGTGTCTAAAAATATTGTTACTCAGTGATCTTTGGTTCAAAGTAAAATAAAAACATATACATAATTCTTTGGGCCTTTTTTTGATCTTAAACCACACAGCATTCTAAAGGCACCGAGCCTGATGTTCTGCTGCCTTGTTGAAATGCCCTACCGTAGCGCAAACTAAGGTAGGCTAAAACTGTAGGTAGGCTGTTTTGATAACCTAAATTCAGAAAATGAATCCTCATTTCCTTATCAGAAAATGTTACAAGCATTAAAATTATAGGTAGGATGTTGTAGCACCGGTACAGAAGAAGACACTGAAAACATTGCACGTACGGGCGAGTGTGGCAACTGGGAAGCAACAACCATCCAACTCAAGTTTGTCACTGAGCCGAGTCAACACGAGTGGGAGGAAGCAGCTCCCGGTCGTGATGGGGGGGCCTGAGCCGAGTGCATGAGTCCTGGCTTGCGCCTGTACAGGATGCGTGCGTGCATTGGTTGGATTCCATCGCAGCTAGGACCGTGCTCAACCTCAGGAAGGAAGCGTGGGCTGGGCATTTCTGGTCTTTGAAAAGACCCTCTGTTGTAGGTAGGATATTTTTGTAGCCTATATTATCTTACCAAGTAAGATGAATATGGAGCAAAAAAAATATCAATAATGGCAAAATGCCTCTTCTGCAAGAAAACTGGACATTAAGCACAAGTGTGTCAAAAGAAATGCAGATGCATGTGTGGAACAAAGGAGATCTAAAGAAAAAAAGACAGTCAAAAGCTAATGAGACACCAGTAAGAGCACTGAGTTAGTCGTCATCATACTCTGAATTGTGTGTCTATTCTATTGATACAGAAGGCAAAGAAACTATCAAAGTCAATGGATAAACACTGAAAATGGTCCTAGACACAGGAAGTGGATGAAACATCATAGGGGAAAATCTGTAGAACAAAATGTCAAAACTGTCAAACACAGTCAAAACTGAAACAAACTGGAAAGTAATTCTATGTCTATGCCCAAGCCAACCTACTTCAGTGCTTTGGTTACTTTGAAGCACAACTAAAATGGCAAAAAATGAGACAAATGATGAAATGTATGAGATCAAAGCAAATGTGCAGCATTGCTAGGCAGTAATGCATGTTTTGATTTAAAAGATACTAAACTCAGGATATGATGCAAGGCTGTAGATCAGTACAGTGATAGGTTTATACAGCTTATACAAGAGTTCAATTCACAGTTTAAAGGAAAATAAGGTACAAGTATATAGTCACAGAATCACTGTGCAAAACAAAATAAAAAACAATGGAGGCTGTAAATTAAGAACTTGATAAAATGTTGGAAGATGGAATAATTGAAGAAGTGAATGAGACGTCGCAATAGTTTTCCAAAAAAAACACTGCTAATTCCAAAGAAGGACACTACAGAAATAAGACTATGTGCTGACCTGAGAGAACCAAACAAAGCTGTAATTAAAGACATCTGTTCCAACTATAGACAGAATTTAGCAAACAATACAAGGAGCAAAAGTGTTTGCTAATCTTGACACATAAAAAGGCTTTTGGCAAATTGAGTTAAAACCTGAATCTACGGCTTTGTTCACACAGCAGGCAAAAGTGGCCCAAATCCGATCTTTTTCTTTATATGTGACACAGATCTGCTCTCTGTGTGGCAGTGTGAACAGCAAAAAACACACTGAATCAGACATTTTCAATTCCGATTTGAGACACTTTCATATGTGGTCCTGAAATCCGATCCGTATCCAATATGCGGTAGTGCTCAATCTGAACAGCCAGATTGGAATTCATGAGACTTTTACGTCAATCTAACTTGACATTTGTCATAATTTTGCACTGCTGAGACCTCATAAACATTTAGGCTGATGTTTCTGTACCATAAAAAAAGGCACTTATTGCAAATGTTCCGTGTTCGAAGAGGCTGCAACGTCAAAAAAAAGTTTAAAGAATCCGAGGATGTGAACCAAAGAAGTGACCATGGCCCAATAACGTGCACTTTTTACGGTGAGCTCGAACACATTCTGGGTGATGAGCCCAGCTGTCAGTCAATGAAGCTTCATGATCACTCCTGTGATGTTGGTGAAGATGAAACTGAAACCTGCATTGGTTAGCAGTCATGATTGTTTACCTCTGGATGAGTCACGTGAAGCAACGTGAAGCATTGTTCTTTTGCGCATGCGGGTCAGTTTAGGAGCTGATCTGTTTAGACTAATGTCGCATATGGATCACATTTAAAAGATAGTGTGAACGGCCAAACAAAAAAAATCTGATTTGGGCTACTTTTACCTGCTGTGTAAGTGTAGCCCAGATATTTGACTACTTTCATCATGCACAGAGGCTGCTATCGTTTCAGAAAGGTTCCCTTTGGATTGTCCAGCACTCCAGAGGCATATCAGAAGGCAATATTGTGTGGAATGGCAAGAGTGGTCTAGTATTTAGACGACACAGCTGTGTACGTGGAAAGCGAAGCCGAGCTGGAACAGAGGCTTAGAAAAGTCTTCGACAGATTCCAAGAGTGACTTCGAAAAAAAGGCAAATGTGTTTTTGGACTCAGACAGATTTAGATACTAGGTCATGTTGTCTCAGCAGAAGGAGTAAAGCCTGATCCAAAGAAAGTCAAAGCCATTTGTAAAGCACCACAACCTGAGAATGTAGCACAGCCTCAGTCAATCTTAGAAATGTGTGGTTTTCTGATGAAATTCATTTCAGATTTTGCACGTATATCAGAGCCGCTCAGGAAGCTGACATGAAAAGGAAAACAATGGGAATGGACTTCAGAAAGTAAGAAAGCTTTCATGAACATAAAAAGTGCATTGGTGAGTGAACCATGTCTTGTCCATTTTAAGATGGATGCATTATTAGTAATGCTAGCCCAGTACGACTAGGACCTGTTCTATTACAGAGACAAGAAGATAGTGAGGAAAAACAGGTCACTGACCCCTACAGAAAGAAGGTACTGAACAAGAAGTACTTGGATGTGTGTGGGCAGTAGAACACTTCAGAACCTACCCATGGGAAAACAAGTTTACACTGCGCACTGACCATCATCTGCTTATCTATTTGTTCAATTCAGAAAAAGCTACAATTATACCTCCAAGAATTTAAAGACTAGCATGGAGATTGCAGCTGTATATATGCAAGGTTGGACACATTGTAGGCAAAGCAAATGTTGCACATTCTCTCTCCAGACTTCCTTTGTCTGACACAGAGGACAGTGGTTACATCAAACCCTATGTGGACAGAATACTTTTTAATGTCTTTGCATGACGTACCTGCCATAACACTTCAAGAACTGAACTGATACTTGTAAGGACGATACATTGAAAAAACTGATGTCATTTGTTGAAACATAAAATTGGCCAAATCTAATACCAGAAGAAATACAGCCTTCGAAGAAGAGTCGTTGACTCAAAAAGGATTGATTGAAAATTGTGCTACCAGCTGCAACAGTGACACAAGCACTGACAATTGCATGACACACACCACAGTGTAAGTTCGCACCAAAAGCTACCTGAGAAGTAAATTCAATCAGCCAAACATGGACATGGATGTTTAAAGACTGATAAGCTAATGTTCAACATGTGTGTTGAATCAGCCGCTTAAGGGCCTCTCCAGCCACTTGAACTACCACCCAAAACTTGGACTAAGTTAAGTATAGGCTTAGTAAGCCTAATTCCAATTCAGTATGTGCTGACTGCAACTGACTACTACACGTCTTACCTAGAAGCAGCTGGTATATCTAATGTATCATCCAACACAGTCACTGAAGAGCTAATGCAGATTTTTGTGAGGTTCGGACTCTCAAGTGAAGTCGTTACAGACAACGCTAAACAGTTTGTGGGTCAACTGTTTGACTCATTTCTGAAATCGAATGGGATTAAGCACATCCATGCCTCACCTTAATATCCCAAGACTAATGGCAATATAGAGATTTCATAGGTAACTGAAAATGGCCAAAAATGAAGGAAAAAAAAATCAATCTATGAAAACATCAGGAGAGACACCAGCTCACCTTATCTTCAGAAGAGATATTCACACAAAACTACTGGACATGCCAAAGGAGGACAGAACAGCAAAAGACATAATTCATTCACTCATTACAGAGAGTACAAAGAAAAAATGAAGCTGTACACAGACAAATGGAACAAAAAATGAAAAAAAGCATCATTTTAAAATTGGAGACAGAGTACATTGCGAACATGGACAGACGTTATGTACTACTCAGACCAACTGAGAATTTCTTTGAACTTGTCAACCCAGACTTTGCTACATGGATTGGTCAAAATGTCAGACTTGCAAATAACTGGCCATTCCAGAGTCTGATACTGGAGTGAAAACTGCAGCGTTAGACATGCAGAATAATCCAGAACCTGGATTCTGGATTCCAGGAGATGAAAGTTGATCTACATCCTCTTCCACATCTGATCAAGCTCAGATCACAACCAGGAGCGGTAGAGTGATAAAGAAACCAGTTTGTTTCAGAAACATGGTTATGTGACTGGACTGTTACTGTGTTAAAAAAAGAACGAGTTACAATGAAAGCTAAAAGTTCACTGATATTGTGAGACAATTGAAAGAATATGATAAATGTAATTTTGCATTAAATCAAAATTTTATTTATGGAAGGTAACAAGTCCATATTTTTATGTCATTTAGGAGAGTGTTGCTGAACAAAGGAAGGGATGTAGTATAGGTGTATTATTATTGCTTGCCTGCATCCTAAATGTAGTTATTCATTTTTAGAGCTGTCACAGAACATAGTAATATGATCATTATGACTGGGGTGGAATACAAGGCGACATTCAAGAGCGATGCAGTCACATATATATGCTACTTACTGGTTAAAAATATAGTTTCACTCTAGATCAGTTAAAAGTGTTTTTATTTAAGTTTTCTACAATGTTCTATGAAAAAAATGTTTCTATTTCTAATCCCTGTTTATTGCAGCCCTACTATGAAAAATATTGTTAAAGAGTTTGATTTCCATAGTAGAAACTGTGTATGTATGCTTAATGTAAAGTGCAGACAAAAAGTTGCTTTGTTACAAAGTTGCACTTGTGAGCAGCATTGGCATGGAATAGAAAGAAGGACTTGATTAGGTTAGCAGGATAAACTTCTGACGTGGTCGCCAAGCCTGAAAATTAGACAAGGAAATTCTACTCAAGCATCCCACAAGCCATCAAAACAGCCAGGCTTCATTAGTAAATGATAAGCTTTGGGAATACTGCTTTATTTGAGCCGATCACTAGTCCAATTACTTTATGTTTGAAGTAATGTGGAGTTAAATAATCGACTCCAAGCATTTCGACTCTCAGAGTTGACCCTGACTCCCAGACACGTCGACTCTTTTGTTATTTTGCGACTTGTTACAGGATTTGATTAGATTCATTCTTTTTTTCCATGTGATATCCTATTCAGGATTTTCTGCTGATATCGGCCCAATGCCAATACTCATTGATTCTGATATGCCAATTGTGAAACCTTTCAAAAGTGATCTCATTCAGATGATTGGATGATTGGAACCCTTCTTGCACATCAGTTGGCATTTAGAAGTGATCTTGAGATACTGAACCTGCATTACACATCTCACCGACATACAGAAGAGGGTCTGGTCTAAACAGCGTGAGACAGGCTCCCTCTGTAGGCTTCTCTGACACTGCATGTTTGCAGAGTACATACCTAACTACATCAGCCTTTAGGTAGCACAAAAGAAGGAGTCTTTAATTTATCCAAATGTTTATATAATTACACACGCTTTCTCTGAATTTATGCATGCTAACAAATTTTCAACCTAATACTTATGTGAGCTACATCAGCTAAATTGAGTAGCTTGTTAGCTAAGTGTATAATTTCCTCCCAAGCTGAGGCTTTGCTCAAGTCTGGGCCTTGGTGTGCGGGGCACTTGCAGTAGGGCTGCATGTTTAAAGTCGCAGAAAACACAGAAAAATAATACAATTGTATGTATGATACTAAACTTTTGTGTTATATTAAACTTCCAGCAAAGCTTGAAAGAAAAATAAACTATATAAATATGATAAAACACGCCTTAAAAACATCTGAGAACTTTGTGGGCATGGATAATAAGCAGCTTGATTGACAGCTCCCTGTCCAGCACTCCTAGCCTGCTCGGCCACTCATACAGAACTAAAATCATTATCCTCCTTATATGTGATGGTAACTGAAAAAAGTCACAGACAAACAGACATGCAGACAGATGGCCGGATGAACGAACAAACGGATGGGTGAAGCAACGGACGAACAGATGTGCAGATGGACGGACAGATTGATGAAGCAATGCATGAATGAAGGAACAGATGAATGAACAATGTTCATTCGTTTATCCATACACAAACGGGAGACAGGCAGCTACAGACAGGTGGTCTAGCCTGCTAGCTTTTGGTTATGCTGGGTTAGCTTTAGGTTGCTAAGTTTCTCTAACTCTGAAACTGTTTTGTGTGGGCGGGGCATGAGACGTCAGCCTTGCTAACGAAAGCGCTACCCAAGATTAGAACTGCCCAGTTTACATCGAGAGGACAGAAATATAGTGAAATGTATTAGTCATTTATTAGTCATTGGAACATTATTCAAAGGGTTTACTTACATGTTTACTGTCTGCCTGCAAGAACAAGATTAACCTAATTAGAAAGAAAGCACACTGTTTTGGCTTTTGGCCTAAGCTGCATGACGTGGCCTTAATGTTGTGTTAGTGTGGGCCTCAAAAGTGCAGCATCACACGCACCCATAACAGGCTGCAAAAACATAGGACATCAGCCATCAGCGCAATTATTGCTTGTGGATTAAAATGTGCTAAAATTTGCGTCTACATGTACATACATTTAAATACACGCATTTATTGGCATGCTGTTTAGTTGTCCAAACTGTGATAACTGCATTAGCTTTGCCCATCTTATTAGCATACAGGTCTGGAAAAAATTACATAAATATAATAAAGAAATAAATAAAATAATATAAAATAAATAAAATATGTACTAAATAAATTAAATGTAATTTAATAACTAAAATCATTTCAGCATTTCTGCTCGTAATTAATAACTTATTTGTTAATTTATGCATTTGTACCCACATGATTTAATTTATTTATGCTTTTATTATACATTTATTTATATATGTCTACCACACATTTATTTATTTATTTATGTTCTTATTTGTCTCTTTTTCAAGTCAAGTTTCATTTTCTGTAGAATCCAGAATGGGAGAAGAGGGAAAACTAATCTCTGCTGGGCTGTGATCCTCCAGGATCTGAGTTTGTCACACCTGGGGTAGAAGGGGGTTGACAAATTGGGCATGACAGCAAGGGAGGTGTTTGTAATGAAGTGGACGATAAGGGCGCATCTTTAGGCTTCTTTAGGCTTCTGTGATGTAATTTATAAAGCAACACTTCAGTTACTGGAACATTATGATCATTTTTTCTCTCTCCTTATTTTTAGGATTAACCACAAAAGGAGGAAGTAGTGGCTGTTCGGTATGTGTTACATCACCACAGCTGCAGTCTGAAACATGAAAACTGTTAGCTGTGTTTGCTTAGTTTCACACATTCAGGACAGCACAAACAAGAGATCAGTCAATCTAATATATATTCATGTGTACATGTGTATAAATGAGACAAAAATATTAGACTTATTGAGGAAAATGATCCAATACTACAATATTTGTGAGTGGCAAAAGTATTTGAACCTTTGCTTTCAGTATCTGGTGCGACCCCCTTGTGCAGCAATAACTGCAACTACACATTTCCGGTAACTACTGATTAGTCCTGCACATCGGCTCGGTGGAATTTCAGCTCATTTCTCTATACAAAACAGCTTCAGCTCTGTTATGCTGGCGGGTTTCCTCCCATGAACTGCTGCTTCAGGTCCTTCCACAACATTATTATAGGATTAAGGTCAGGACTTTGACTTGACCATTCCAAAACATCAACTTTATTCTTCTTTAACCATTCTTTGGTAGAACAACTTGTGTTCTTAGGGTCGTTGTATTGCTGCATGACCCACATTCTCTTGAGTTTCAGCTCACGGACAGATGTCCTGACATTTTCCTTTAGAATTTGCTGGTATAATTCAGAGTCCTGGCCCAGATGCAGCACAAACAGGCCTAAACCATGATACTACCACCACCGTGTCTCACAGATGGGATAATTTTTATGCTGGATTGCAGTGTTTTCCTTTCTCCAAACATAATGCTTCTCATTTAAACCAAAAAGATCTACTTTGGTCTCATCCGTCCATAAAACATTGTTCCAATAGTCTTCTGGCTTGTCCATGTGATCTTTAGCAAACTGCAGACGAGCAGCCATGTTCTTTTTGGAGAGCAGCAGCTTTCTCCTTGCAACCCTGCCATGCACACCATTGTTGTTCAGTGTTCTCCTGATGGTGGACATTAACGTTAGCCACTGTGAGACAGGCCTTGCTTAGACGTTATCCTGGGTTCCTTCATGACCTTGCAGACTATTACATGCCTTGCTCTTGATGTGATCTTTGTTTGTCAACCACTCCTGGTGGAGTGTAACAAAGGTCTTAAATTTTCTCCAATTGTACACAACCTGTCTGACTCTGGATTAGTCAGATTATGTCAGATTAGATTATAAATCCAAACTCTTTAGAGATGGTTTTGTAACCTTTTCCAGCCTGAAGAGCATCAAAAACTCTTCTTCTGTTCTTCTGAGGTCCTCAGAAATCTCCTCTGTTTGTGCCATGATACACTTCCACAAACATGTGTTGTGAAGATTAGACTGTGATAGATCCCTGTTCTTTAAATAAAACAGGGTGGTCACTCACACCTGATGGCCATCCCATTAACTGAAAACACCTGACTCTAATTTCACCTTCACATTATCTGCTAATCCTAAAGGTTCACATTCTTTTGCCACTCACAGATTTGTGATACTGGATCATTGTCCCCAATAAATAAGTGACCAAATCTAATATTTTTTTGTCTCATTTGTTGAACTGGGTTGTCTTTATCTACTTTTAGGGCTTGTGTGAAAATCTGATGAAGTTTTTGGTCAAAGTTATATATATGTGTGTGTGTGTGTGTGTGTGTGTGTGTGTGGTGTGTGTGTGTGTGTGTGTTATTTTCTCTTTTCTTATAGACAGAGTTTGATGTGGTGTATGCTGATGTTATCTTCGATAGTCTGGCACAAAGGAGTCCAAAGAAGGTTTGTCTTTTTTGTTTGTTTGTTTATTTGTTTGTTTTTTAGTAGCATCAGATTTCAGACAGTAACATCAGTCATTCACACGCACCCATACACAGTGTGTCTTCAAACATAAAGCATCTGAAGATCAAAGACAGCATTCTAGCAGATGCAGGCCAAAAATATGTGGACACCCAAACATCACATCCATAAGTGGTTGTTGAACATCTCATCCTAAAACCATGGTCATTACTATAGAGTCGGTCTTCCCTCCAGTAAAAGCCTCCGTTTTTCTGGGAAAGCTTGTCATTCCAGTTCAGCCCAAATGTTGGATGAGGTTGAGGTCAGGGCACTGGGGCACTGTCATGCTGAAACAGAAAAGGGTCTTCCCCAAACTGCCGCCACACAGTTGTAAGCACACAATTCTGTGGAATGTCACTGTATGATATAGCATTAAGATTTCCCATCACTGGAACTGTGCGGAATATATAATGAAACACAGACTATTATTCCTCCTTCACCAAACTTTACAGTTGGCACTACGCATTCAGGCTGGGTGTGTTCTCCTGGCATCACCTAAATTCTTCTGTCTCAGAACATGTCCACTGCTCCGGAGTGCTTTACAACACCCCGGCAAATGCTTTGTATTGCTTGTGGTCATCTTGGGCTTGTGTGCAGCTGATCAGCCAAGGAAACCTAAGCCAGTAAGCTTCTAACAAACAGTTCTTCTGCTGGGACTCAGCTGACCAAGGCAGGTCTATCAGAATAGAAGCTGACTTCTTGGACAGGTGACATCCTAGTGCATTCAAGCTGAATGTCACTGAGCTCTTCAGAATGACCCATGCTAGTGCTAGTGTTTGTCTATGGAGATTGGATGGCTGCACGCTTGATTATATGCACTTGCATGTAGCTTAAATGACAGGAATGACTGAACTGATGAGGAGGACAACTAAGACAAATGTTTCTAGTGTTGGAGGCTATCTAGATACCTTACTTCAGTTTGGCTCCTTTTCTTTGGTTGAAAGGTAAAACTTGTCTTTGGTGTCCATTTTGTGTTGAATAAAGATATAATTTCTTTTGTGATTTTGTTTGAAGACATTAGAGTTACACTAATGCTTGCTTGGGATTTACTAGCCTATATATTAGTCTTTAGGAGGCTGGCACTCAGGAATGACTGACACCACAAGGATTCCCAGTGGTTGTGTGATGTATCTGTGCAATGTATGCTGAGTATTATAGTGAAAGAACAATGATGAATGAAAACATGAAAACAATTTAAAATTTTGAATTTAAGTTGTGGTACTTTGACACTTTACTGTTTTTTCAAAAATATATTTATTTTTTTGCCATCTTCCTTTTTATTCTCCTCTAGGATCTGTGTCTGCAGTGTGGGTCAGTGGGTGGTGGGTTAGTGGGAAGCGGACATAAATAAATGTCATGTTTTTGCTCTGACTTATGAATAATGTAAGAACTTACCATTTAGCACCTTTCTAGAGGGTGAATCCAAATAGCATAGAAAAATGTGTTTTGTGTGTTTTTTTAATATCTATTTAAATGTACTGGATCTGCGTCCAGCAGGTTACATAAAAGTTCTGTAAGCGCTGTAAAGTAGCGAAACAAATATGCTTTTTATATCGCATGTAATTACTCCACACACTCCCTGTATTACTTAATGGTGTGTCCCTTTTAGTGAAAAGCTACTGAATGGGTTTTAAAGGTTTTTTTTCTGTGGGTGAAGCTGTTTGGTGGGTACCCTCTATGAATGTCTTGTGCACTTTTGGCCACAAATAATGTGTAGATTGGTTTTACTTTTTTGTTTTTTTGGCTCTCTGAAGTTGCCTTCTTGCTTCTGTTTGGTCACATCCTCAGGCATCCCCTGCCACTTCCATCTAAGTAGTTGTTATTCATTGTGGCACAGCTGTTATGCAGTTTATGGGCACACTCAGTAAATTAGGAAGTAACAGACTAATGTATTGAAAGGGTGAGTCTCATAGAAGGTTTTACTCCCCAGTCCATAAAGTCCATATATGGAAACTAAGCTACAAACAATGGCCCTTTTTGAAATTCTTGGTTCTTGTAATGTCATGAAACACTTTATTCACCATGACCAACACATACACCCACCTTTATGGCATACAGTAATTTAGCTCTGCCCATTCACACTAAGGTAGAAAAAGTGTTTCTGTTTGTTTTTTTTTGTTTTTTTTTTAATGAGGCACAAGGCAGAGCAGCCAATCAGAATAGAGCTCATTTGCATAGATCAGTTACAGTAGCACAAAAGCCCTGGACAAAATGAGGCTGGAAAATGGCCATGTGACTGTGTTTGGGACATCAACCTACACAAATATACTAAGTGGACAATGAGGTAAAAAAACTGTTTTAGCTGATTATGCTTATTTTAAAGGTATCTACTTTATTTTTGAACCAGGTTACATAATCTAGTTGATATAGAGTTTGTTACAACCCAATACTGAACATGTCAAAATGTTACTTCATATTAAAAATCAAAGGAAACACAGAAATGTGGGTTAGTGTGCTATCACCAGTTCCCAGCCTTATCGGTTTCTGAGAATGATGTTGCCTACAGCACATCATAATCTCACTTCTTACAGCAGTCTTTGTTGTCTCTTGTGTAGCTCTGTTCACTTACATAGTACCAAATAATAAGGCAACATGAAAACTGATATGTTTCCTTAATGCAACCGAACAATAAACTGACCCACAGCATAAAACTACACTGATAATGTGATTAATGTGATTTGCTTTATGTGGGTGAAATGGTGCATTTGGTTAGTGAGTCAGTGAAGGCTTTCCACTCTGTAATTACAACTGGTTTTCTTCCAGCTCTCTCAGGCTGCCTGTGATGACAGGGTCATCTATAGCTCAGTGAAAACTTCCCAGTGAATGGGTGAGTATATCTTTCCCTAAACAGAATAGCTGGATTTACTGTGTGGTTTGCATTTCCATTAACATAAATCTGCTGAAACATTCACTGTGCTTTAAATCTGTTCACACGCAAGGCTGGTCTCTGTGTTGTAAACAAGCTGTGAATAATTAGGGATGTACATTCTGACTAATTTTGATACTCAGGTATACAGAAGAGTTAATGAATTAATGAACGAATACCTGGTGAACTGCAGAGAAGTAAAAAGCAACAATAAAAGGGAGAAAAAACAGGTCTAGGCCAAAATTAGCACAGGGCTGTGGGCTTACCTTTCAAATATTAGCACTAAAGGCTGAATTTTGAAAAGCTGTTTCCCAGGTCGCCATGGAAATCAGTAGGTTTTGTGTCTGATACCTGCTGAAAAAAACAGCACTGACCAGCATGCATGCCATGCTGGTCTATGCTGGCTATGCTAGCAGCAATGAGGAACAGAAGCCTATTCAGAGGAGCTAATGAGCTAAGACTAACTGATACAACATTAGTTTTAATGGAGACTGCTCCTCAGTGGTGCTAAGTGATGTGCTAACATAATACTTTGGCAAGAAATGTGACTTTTCACAGTTTCTGGACCTGGCTAACGTGAACTAGAGTAGTTAGCGTAGTTATATAATCTGGTTTAAAAAGGATTTATTAAAATGGCATGAATAGACCTTTTACAATTCAAGATTATATCAGACCTACATTATCATTCACATGACGTCCCACTTTCTGGTATTATTCAACCTTCAAACTATGTGAGGTTGGAGTGTAAAACGTCACTATGCAGGTACATAGGTTTAGCCCAGGAATACCTAAGGCATGCTTACTGTAAGAGAGTTAGAAGTCACATATCGAATAACAAGAAACCTACCAAAACATGGTGAATTTGCAAAAACAGAACAAAGAAATATTCAGGTAATCTGGTATATTATCGCTGATTTCCTATCGATATAGACACATGCAGACTGAGGTAAACATAACTTTTTCTCCATCTTTGTTATGCTCACTTATTGACATGCCATATGTATCTAAAGGTGGGTCTGGGGAGTTACTGGCAAGTCCAGCATCCAACTGATGCATTTCTTTATGTGTATATTCAGGTTCAAACATAAACAACATAAGGCTCATTTGTACAGAAAATGTGGATCTCAAATTTGTAATCAGACACTGTACTGATTTTATGAGTACATTTGCTTAGCCTTTCTACCGGTCCTAGCTGATGGTGCATCAGCATCGATTTTTCTTTCTGCCCTAAATTAAGACCTGGTTGTGGTTTGAGCAGGTTGAGACATGTTTGGAACAGTGTGGGTGACTATTGACTTTTAGTGTTTGTTATCATCATGAGCCAAACAGCAGTCCTTAACTAAAGAAGCACAATTTGGTCTAAAACTTGGCTGATTGACTGTACTTGGGCTGCAAGTGGAAAGATTATGTAAATGTGATTTTTTGCTCACATTCAGGCACTCCTATTCCATAGTAGCAAAGTTTAATATATGTTCTCGCAAAACTGTCACAATTAATCATGAAATCTGTATTTTCCTGAATTCATCTGCTTATTTTCTCTGTCTTTCCATGATGAAATGTGAAGAATACACAAAAACATGATGTCAGTATTTGAATACTGATATCTGGAACAGTTAACCAAGTACTCCAGTACTAGTGCACATCCCTACAAATAACCAACAAGCATCATCATTATGCATGACTTAAATCTATTGCACCATTTGTCAAAACTCAAAGAAAATAAATGACTGTTGGCATCTGTGTTCTTCATGTGGAAGCTGGTGCCATTTTGTCATTATACCTGGTCTTAGCTGAGGAGGGGATATACACCATAAATCCCATGTCCAGATCAGCAGAGGATCTTAATCTGGCCCTGCTAAACAGTCGTGTAGGGATGCACTGATACAGGAATTGTTGGTCATACCCAACATCTGATATTTTTATGTATATGGACCAATGTTGAAATATAAACTTGTAGAAATTCTACTCTCTCAGTAAAATTGAGAAATTATAGTTCAGTAGTTCAGCATCACCTTTACATTCTGCTCCTCCAAGAAACGCATCATCATTTCAAATTATCAGTCATATCTAAACATCTATCTGATGACCTTCTGTCTGATTTCTTTTTATGGAATTATCTGTTTATACCAATATAGTTCCAGTATTATTATGCGTTCCTAGTGTTTTTCTGAAATCCACTTTTACTCTGCTGAGTGTTGATTTAAACTCATAATTACTTCTGATGGGTCTTTGACAACTTTTTACCCTGCTGCTTAACATTGACATAACCACCCCATAATGTCTCATGGCAGATGTCATATTCTGTCTTTGGGTATTTCCATCATGGCATCTGTCATGACAGTTACTGATAACGGGCCTCATTCACCAACTATTCTTAAGAAGAATTTTTTTTCTTAAAACCCACTTTACGCAGTTTTCACGAAGATTCTAACATTCACCAATGTTTTTATTTGGGATCTTAGGTAAGAACAGAATCTACACCCACTCAAGAACACAAAGGAGCGAAGAAGTCTGTGGTTTAAGAACATGTAGGCTTTTTCTTAGGACTTTTCTCAAGAACTAATTTAAGAAAAACTATTGAAGATATTGGTGAATGAGACCCAATGGTAACAGGACACCGTGATATTACGCAACAAAAACTGTTAATACAACTTATACATCTGACATCTGCCATGACATGATTATGGCCTAGTTATGTCATTTTTCTGTAGCAGGGTTCAAGTAAATGGACAGAGCAATGGAGATCTCCAACACTTCAATGATATAAAGAGTGTATGTGTGACTTTGACATTAACCACTTTGGCAGTGGTGGGCTCCTCTATTTTGAGCTGTACACATTTGTATTCATATTTATTTCTGTATGAGTATGTAACTGTTCCCTTATTTTTTTAAGAAATGTGTCAGCATATGTATCACTTATACAGACAGAACATACCACATGGGAGTGTGGCTACCCTGAAATAGAATTTGAAGAAGTATGGGGAAGTGTGTGTGTCAAACACAACTCTGTTCTTTTCAAACAGTTGCACAGATGCGTCTACAGCCAAGGAGGAATTTACTGTCTTCTTCATTTACATGGAGTGAACAACCAATCCAATTGGACCTTAGTTCTCAAAAACTGCACACCGCAGTGAAACTTTGCATTCAGAGTATATTTCTGTGTCAGAACGAAGACTGGCAGTCATTTTTTCATATTTATAGAGGCTTCATGTTTGAGAACAAGCTGATTTGTGTTCTATGTCATGCTCTCAACTGTACACATGTGAGCACATGCAGGTGGGAGGACGCAGGGTCCAGCTAATATCATCTATGCTGTAATGCGAGTAGACCCCTACTAGCGTTCTTTAACCCATGTATGTCCAACGACTAAGTTTAGTTTGATAACAGAAGTGCCACAGAACTTAACTTGGTCTGAAGTGATGAAATTTTTTATAGTTAGGTCAGTGTTAGATGAGCATCTAACACAGGGCTGTCCAAAGTGTGGCCTGTGGGTCAAAGTTGGCCCATCATGACGTATGATTTGGCTGCTAGAATGTTACCTTAGCCCCATATTCATCACCCAATGAGAGAACATATCGGTGTTGTCGGAAGAAAACCTTGTATCTTCATTTTTGACATAATTTGAAAATACCTGTTACCCTTTACATTGTATGTAAATTTCATAAGGAATGGACTAAAAGAAATGACCCAAAATGACTTGGAAAAAAAGTCTGGTTCCATTGACTTACATAAAAGGTAAAGTAGGTTTTTTCCTTCTCCTGTAAAGTTACCACTGGAGATACAAGGTTTTCTTCCGACAACAGTGACATTTTTGTACTGTACATAACATTCAATTCTTATTTTCTTTTTTTAAATTATATTTTTGAAGCATTTGGTTACAAAATATATTATAATGTTATATAATATATTTGTAAAGACTCAATTTGAAATCCACCATCTTCTTTTTTTATGTGTATCCTATTTTGTCCTTTTGTGGCACGGTGGGTAGCGCTGTTGCCTCACAGCAAGGAGGGCCTGGGTTTGATTCCCTGGCTGGGTGACCAGGGTCCTTTCTGTGTGGAGTTTCTCCCCGTTTTTCCTCTGGGTACTCCGGTTTTCTCCCATGGTCCAAAGACATGCACTCAGGCTAACTGGACATGCTAAATTGCCCCTAGGTCCCTAGGTGTGTGTGTGGATGTATATGTGTGTCTGTTTGTATGTCTGCCCTGCAATGGACTGGTGACCTGTCCAGGGTGTATCCTGCCTTCTGCCCACTGGCAGCTGGGATAGACTCCAGCTCCCCAGCGACCCAGAAGGATAAGCAGTTTAGAAAATGTGTGTGTATGTGTGTGTCTTTGGCCCTTGGCTCACCACAAACATTGGACTTTGCTACCCCATGATAAGAAGTTTGGGCACCACTGACCTAATAGAACCATTATTTTTTTTTTATTACATGTAATTTTCATACATTAACTGACAATCAAATTAGAATTTTGTTTTGTCACACTGAATGAAATATGATAGATAAAGAGATCAGTTTTAAAAGTGTCTTTCAGTTTGTGCTCAGGCAAGCTCAGAGAACATATGGACCAAAGAAAATTTTAAATTGAGATATACATAAAAAAAAAACAACAAACAAAAAGCCAAAGCAAGTAGTGTTCATTGTAAATAGACCATTCTGAGACTGTAATGTTCTTCTTGGCAAAGGCAGCCGGTCAATGTCAGATCATTATTGTTTGAGCAGTTTATTTGCACACTTCTGCAGCTTTGCATCCAAAATGCCTTTGTACTTTCTGATTTTACGATCCATCAGTGAAGCTCTCACAAGCTATCCAACCAGTAGCCTTAGTACAGTCTGGACTTCTTCTTCAGGTTTTCTCCACACAAATAGAGTCTATCATCAGTTTGATGTTGTGCTTATTTTTTTTTTTTTCCCGATCATTTTGTTAAACAATTTATGAAGTACCTAAAGAACTTCATTAAAGTTTACCTGTGGTTAAATGGTTCAAGTGTTCAAATACTTTTTGTTGCAACTGTAGACATTAATGGGTTAATGAAGCATCTCTTTAAGGCATAATTGCCTGGGCTACCTGGAACATTTCATAATGTAAAATCACTGTGGAGTAAATGCAGCTTCCCTCGAGTAAGGATGTTGAATAGATTTCTGTGCTCTTTTCTTTTTCAGCCATGGACATTGACATTGACCTTTACTGCCACCAAGTGGTGGAGAACCACTGTGATTCTTTTTTTTTTTTCTTTTTTTTTTTGAAGCAATTGTTCATCGAATGTACCAAATGAACCAATAATTTTCTGATCCTGAACCTTTTCTAGAACATTTCATGGAATGATTCTGTGATACTATGTTACCACACTGAGCTCATGTTATAAATTCTTCATATTCCAGCATCTGCTTACTTAGAATTCAAGCACAGCTCTTCCCACTTGTGTAAATCACTGGAGCATGTACACTGATAAACAAAGGATGTGATTAGCAAATTCTTTGAACAGGATGCATCACTTTGAAAGCTTTCTCTCCTTTAGGCGCTTTTAAACCACCACAGTGATGATCTAGCAATTTATTGAGAAGACAAAACACAGAATGGCTCCTATTCTTCAGCAGCAGGAAACAGACTTGGGTGAATGAGTACATATTTTTCTTATAATTAAAACCTGGGAATTCAGATTTCCTTCTGCCCTTAACTGCTCTGCTTTTCAGTCATCTTATTGTGAAGCTGCAATTCACAAGTTGAAACATTGCTAAAACTCGAGCAAAGAACCACCAAAAACCAATTTTCTTATGAGCATATATCTCTGGGATTTTGTCCATAGCGTACGTGTAAAACTTTGCAGCTTGAAAGGACAATAAAAAAAAGTGACTCCAACATTATGCAAAGCAATAGCCATGCTGAATTATATTCATCATTTGCAGATGACTGCAGGCTACAAGTGTACCAAGTTTGCTGCCAAGTCAAGAGGCCTGATAGATTTTAGAAGCAATCACCAGCATATGCGACTGTGCTGCTGAGTTTTGCATTCATTAAGAAGTTGAGCTGCTCTGAAATCCTGGGCTCTGCAATACATTATTTCATTATTTTCGCTTGCAACTTTGTTCAGTAGCACATGCTTGTAGTATTGGAAAAAATACAGTGGATCATGTGATTCATTTAACTGAAAGTATTGAGTTGCCAGATATCCAGAGTTTGAATTCTAACTTGTGGCAAGATAAGCCATCATTATCCTTTCCCAGCAACGTTCATGTTCCTTTTTTAGTCTAATAATAATCAAAGAATTTTTCCTACTAGAACAAAAATGTAAACAGACAGCATGACCTCAGACCCCACCGAGAGATCCTGATCTTTCTTAAAGTGCCCTTTGTACCCCATGAACTTTTTTAACTGGCTTTGGATTGAGGAACTCTGGTTGCTGAACAGTGCCTATGAGTCTGGCCACCATCTGCAATAGCCTTGCGGGGGCTAATGTCCACTACTGTAACCAGGGTTTAGGACCCCTTTGTCCTCAAGCTACTGACTGGACTGCAGCAACCCTTGAAGCTGAGGTCTGCATCCATTAAGAAGTGTTCACATTTGGTAAACCCTGGGCTCCATAATACAGAATCTCATTTTCATTTGTAACTGCATTGCTTGTAGGATTGCTTTGGGTGCTCCATTACCTAGACATCCCCCCAGTGCCACAGTGGTTGTCAGCATATGAAGGTGTGTGCGCTCCTTATGACACATTTATCTGACAGATACATGACAAGGCTGGTTTTATCGTAGCATAGGAGCCAGAGCTCGAGCGCTATTCCTTGGGTAGGTGCGGAAAATCCTTTGTTCCACAAATAGAATGACAGTTTACACACCAGTACATGTTAAATTGTCAATTAAGCATTTGCCTTGGTATTTAGATCTGGGTCCCAGTATTTGTGATGCAAATAAATCTTATCCCAGTTCCTTTCATTATTGCTGTCTCTCCAGTTGCAGCAAAATAATGCAAAGAGGTTGCTGTTTGTAAAAAAAACAATACCAGAATATATGATTACTGCGGATGTTTCCCCTGTGTGTCTTATAAGAAAGCGAGATCCAAAGCTGGATCAAAAAGCATATTTTATTTGCATAAAACAGGGACTTCACATTTATTAGACATTTGACAGTAACATAAATAAATACATACTATTGCACTGAGCAGAAGCTTAACACCTTCAGATGTCACCAACTTTAACCAGTTGAGATGAGTGTTTATATACCCTGAAGTGATTAATAGGCATTTTCTGTACAAACCTGGTCATTCTCACCCACACGCATACAAAATTACCTTCAGCTCCAGAGAAAAATATTAGAATGTCAACCCAAATGCCATCTGATGACTTATCAACCACTATTCTTTTGTAGAAACGTTGGCAACCAATCTAAAAATCTAGTGTCTAGAGCTTTATTTTCACAGTGTTATTCAAATAGAGGTCAAGAGTGTGAGAGAATATTGTCCACGCTAAACACTTATTTTGTGGCTATCACAAATACTGACGTAACATCTCTCACACTTTTTTCCTGTAGCCCCCTCTGCCTCTCTCATATGCATCAGCACGCACACAAAATTCATGAATGTGTATCAAAGCAAAACTGAAAGATTCTGAAAATATAAAGAAAGAGTTTGAATGGACAGTGAGGATGGACATCAAAGCTATTCACACTGGCTGGCGGAAGCAGGAAAAAAAACAAAAATGATTTACAGAGTTACACAGTCTCAAAAATGTCCTTCTCTATTCTCACCTCTGCTCTCAAAAAGTAGGTCAGTGTCTGACTGTGTGACTACGGCAGCCTACTCCCCAAGATTCTTCCCCACTCCTAAAGTGGTCTAAAATAAAGGAAAAGGAAATGTACAGTACTCTGGCCCTCTATTTGATAGGTTCATTTCACCTGTCAATTTGGTATTCAGGTATTCAGTAGCCAGACTTCTTTTTTCCAGATTCTAAAGCATCATGTTGGTCAAAGTAATTTCCATCACTTACTTATCTTGTGTCAAGATAAGCCATCAATGTCCTTCCAAAGCAACCTCCATGTTCCTCTTTTAATCTAATAATAATCAAAGCATTTTTGCTCTCAGAACAAAGACAGAAATAGGTAAAGTATCCTTGACCACACCAGGAGATCCCACTGTTGAGCAACTCTTACTTCAAATGCCATGTGCAGCAAATGACCTTTTCTGTAAATGGCCTTCTGGACCGCTTTTCCTCTCAACTTCCCCATGCTGGTCCCCTCAGCAGTGGATCTCATAGGCAATCTGTGTGTCAAACAGCAGGCTCTGGTTGATGAACAGTCCCTCTGGGTCTGGCGGAGGTCCCTCACCACCCTCTGCAGGAGCCCTGCGGGGGCCAATGCCTGCTACTCTTCCTGGGGTCAGGACTCCTTGGCCCTGGAGTGACTCGTTGGACTGCAGAATGCCCTGCTGCCCTGGGACAGGTGGTGGGGGCAGCACAGGCTTGGCACGGTTGAGCACGTACATCTCATGGCCTCGCTCATCCCGGTACTCCTCGAGCTGCGCAAAGGTGGTGGGTCCATCGGAATAGTCGTTGACATAAAGGATGGACTCCTCTTTGCTTGGCCCATAGCCACCACCCTCCTCTTTCTGCCGCTGACGGTGGCGGCCGTAGATCATGCAGAGCAGCAGCAATGCAGTCAGAGCAAGAAGAGAGATGCCAACAGCGATGGCCGTCTGGGTGGCAGTGCCCAGGGCATTGAAGTCCATGCTCTCCAGCTCATAAAGAGGCTCCTGGCTGACATCCCCTGAGGATGGATGATAGTTTGAGGAAGAAGAGGAAGAGGAGGAAGATGGGGAGTGCAGACGAGGCCAGATGGCTGAGGACGATGATGAAGAAGACATGTTGACGGACAGGTGAAAGGTCACTCGGGCAACTCCCCCAGGATTCCAAGCTTCGCACTCATAACGTCCTGCATGGGCCACAGTCACGTTGCTCAGGAACAGCATCCCACTACCCGTATCTGGATCAAAGTTGTCCCTGTCTCCATTATCCTCTATGCCTCGTGCTGAACTCCGGCCACCCACATTACCCCCATTACCACTAGGCCTGGCCGTCACAAGCCTCCCGCCAGCCCTACTGTCCCCGTCCATCCCTACCTCCTGCACAAGCCCTCGGGGGGACAGCTGTGCTTTGCCGTGGGATGCCTTTCTCCAGGTAACCTGAGGCTGGGGGTAGCCCGAAGCTTGGCAGGATACTCGCAGGCTCTCTCCCAACCGCACTGTCAGGTGACTGGGCTCCAGTTGCACAGCAGGTGGGATGCACACCAGGCTGTTGGCTGGAACCTCCACCAGGCTGAGGTGAGAGAGGCGCGGAGGCTCTGCACAAACCAGCCTCCGCTCAGCTGAGCTCAAGAGCCGCTGGCCCTCCTCATTTATCCAGCCGCGAAGCCAGTGGAGGGCACAGTCACAGCGCCATGGGTTATCTGACCAACAGAGATAGGAGGGGAGAATGAGAAGGGAAAGGAAGAGAGATAAAATGGGACACAAGAGAGAGAAGGATAGAAAGAAAGAGCGAGTATTTAGTGAGCAATCGGCCACGAGTAGCAGGAATAAAAGAAGGAATAGGACATGGAATAGAACAACAGAGAGAGAGAGAGAGTCTCTCACCTCTAAATCCCTTCACACTGAATTGCCCTAACTTCAAAGCTATTGTCCTGCACTCTCTCTTTATGTCCTTTTCCTCCTTTTGATTCGGATTCCTTTTGATACCCTGCTAATCCGTCTTTCCCTCACACTGTTCCTCCAACCCCTCTGTGCTCTCTCTCCCTTCTTGCTCTATTCCTCCTTTCTCTTCTCTGAGCTCTCCTTCTCTTTCTAAATCCTGACATCCCTAACTAGTCCAGCTTGCATTTAAAATCCGAAACCTTTCTTTCCTTCCAGTTTCATCACCCTAGTCCTCCCCACACCTTTTTAGTGTCTTTATTACTTCTGACCCCAAACATAGCTGTGTATGAAGGTACCTGTGATGCGGAGCACCTGTAGGCTGATGAGGGGTCTGAGTGTGGCGGGACTGAGGGTCCTCAGATTGTTCCTGCTAAGGTCCAGCAAAGCCAGAGAGGACAGGCCAACCAGAGCCTGCTCATCCAGTGCCTCCATTGTGTTTTCCTGCAAGTGCAACTCCTGCAGACGCTGGTGAAAACAGAGAGCATCTCTCATTATCATCTTCATCATCATCATATTCAACATCATACGCATCATTATTCATACCATAAGTAACACAGTCACCATCATCATTGCAACATCATCATTTTTGCTATAAGTAATACCATCACCATCAAACTCACTGTCATCACTGTTCTCATCATCACTGTTATCATAAGTAACATCATCACCATCACTTCACTTTCATCATTATTACTGCCATAAGTAATCTAATTTTCATCATTATTCACAAAATAATGGCACACCTTTCAGCCAATCACAATCGTCTCAGAACGCTACTTCTGCAAAGCAAAGTAAAAACTCTGATAAACTCCTTAGAACAAACCTGCAGTGAGAACGCTGGTGGCAGTAAATCAGTCAGAATTATAAGGATATGAAAAAGATGGTGAGAAGGTGTTACTAAGGAGCATTTCACTCAGCAACCTGATCATCTGAAGGGTGGTGTTGTTTTAATTTCATTCCTAAATCTGAGAAAGTTTTGGATTAACCTGTGTGGAGGACCACATTCACAACTCAGTATCGAAAAACTATTAACACTCAGACTTGTGCTGGCTTTAAGGTATGCTAACCTTTATCTGGGTTGCTGTATTTGCAAATTAAACATTACAGAACAATGTTTAAATCAGCTAGCTTTTTTAACTAAAACAGCAGCTACACAACAGTAGCTTCATGAATTTGTCTCATTAAACCAGAATGTACAGTGTTCACATTTCTGATTAAAACATTCTGTGTAAAGATAAATATTAGATTAATATTAAATATTAATATTAAATATTAATATTAAATATTAATATTATCATGAGTGTATACATTATTGCTGAAATATCTTGTGTACAAATCGATGAGTCCTCCTAGGCATTTAACACTGTTCTCAGTAGCACCAGTGTTAGCTTTAGCATTAGATCATCAGAAGTGGCAGCTCTCAGCTCCAACCTCCTCCTAATTAGACATGAACACCTGACATGTACTCATCTGAGTGCTTCTAAATTTTCATTTGTGCTACTGAGCTTTTTTATCTGTTAGCACAATTGTTACAGATGCTACCAGGTAGTCGAAAATGAAAATTCGACAGCTATAGCAACAGTAACTAAAGGTGCTTTCACACCTACCTTGTTTGGTCCGGACCTTTGGACTGTTCAGTTTGGTCTGAAGCAAAATAGCAGGTGTGAAAGGTGCCTCGGACCAAGGTCTGCACCAAAAGACCAAAATTTGGTCCAACCATATAAGGTGGTCTCGGTCCGGACCAAATTGAACAATGGTTTGGTTCGTTTGCAGTGTGAAACCACTTTTTTGGATAGTTGGGACTTTCAGACAGGCTATCGTCGCCCATTAAACAACTAAAGAGGAAAAAAAAACAGGACAGCAAAGATGAGCTGCATTTTTCTCCATTCAAACGGAAAAGTCTACCCACCGAATGTTAAGTATAGGGAGACGCAGCCCACATAGGTGATGACGATAGGACGTAGGTATGTCATGCAAAGTTCTTTGGTGTGCTCGCTAAATCGCAATGTGAAACCAAAACTAACTGGATCAAATGTATACATTGTAACAAAAACATGAAGCTTGGTTTGAAACTCGGTCCAGTCTTTTGGTGTGAAAACTTGCAAAACGTCAATTAACATAAGAAACATCAATTATATGATCAATATCGCTGCCTTTATCATCAGTGCCTTCATTGTAGCCATATGTAATATCATCATCACAATGACGACCTTCATCATCCTACAGGTTATTATAGCTATTATTAAACTGTGCGTAACAGTGCAGTCTGGTCTGCCCTTCATTATCATTATGCTGAGCTGACTGCAGCCCTTTATCTACGCTTCAGAGTTTTCTCACAGTAATTAGCACTCTCCATAATGTCACTTTAACATTTACAGAGAAAAGTTTGCAAATATAGAGTTTCACACAGTCACACAGTTTCCCCCCCTTGGCATTCTGATTCTGTAAGTTACCCTCAATACAAAGAGGCCGTGTTTACTGTTGCCCATCAAGCCCTCTGCAGTGTTCATGTCATCACATTTTCTACGTTACATCTAACGGTGAAATAATTCTGTACAGGATTTACAGAATCCAAAAGGGACTAAGACGGCTGAAGCTCAAGCATGCGGGAACAAACGCACCTGCAGTCCGCGGAAAGTGTAGTCTTCCAGTCGGGTGATCCTGTTCCCTGCCAGGTAGAGGATGCGCAGGTGCTCCAGGCCACGGAAGACATCAGCAGAGATCAGGTGGAGACGGTTCCCATTTAGGGCAAGCTCCAGCAGTTGGCCCAGGCTTACGAAGGCTCCAGGCTCCAGAGCTGAAATGCTGTTGTTCTGCAAGTAAAGGTAGTGCAGGCAGCCCAGGCCTGATAAGTCCTCCGCTCGGATCTGACCAATGGCATTGTCCTGCAGGAAGATCGTCTGAAAAAGAATGTGGAAGGGAATGTCACGAAAGAAAGTATGAATCTTGCACATCATTCTCAGTGTTTTCACAGGCACTGTTCCCATTGAGATCTGTTGTATTCAGAGAGTAATTTAAATTCATGTGCTGATCTACAGTAAAACTGTCTGTTGGAACAAAAGCTCGTATCTCCAAAATGGTAACTTTACAGGAGAAGGAAAAAACACACTTTACTTTTAATGCAAGTCGATGGAACCAGACTTTTTTCCAGGTAATTTTGGGCCACTTCTTTCGGTCCTCTCATCATAAAATTTACATACAATGTAAAGAGCAACAGGCATTTTCAAATTATGTCAAAAACTGAAAAACAACAAAATGGAGATACAAGGTTTTGTTCCGACAGCAGTGGAATGCAACAAAGCACAAATCTGAAAAACACATCGTGACCACGCTCACATTACAAGCCTTATTAATTAAAAATTTTTGCTTAGACATGATCCTTCTGCCTGGACATCTAATATTTGTTTAAGGTGACCTATATTTGTCTTTGCCTATGTGTAAACAGACCACTGCCTTGGACCAACTCACATGCACACAAACAAATCAATAACGTCACATGAATTAATGAGCCATGTGTGTTTTGAACAACAACAACAAGTGTACAGACTAGCAGCGCAGGCCTTCATTTCAAAGATTATTTTCTTCAAACAGCGCTCAGCTGTTCATGATTAGGGCGAGAAGGTGAAAAAATTTGGCAGCTATTATTGGCACAAGCTTCAAATCAGCCAGTGCTGTGCTGCCAACACTGGATGATGACGCAGTGTGTGGATGCATGAAAAAACCAACAAACAAGGCAAACAAAAAACAAACACATTATAATCTGAGCATTTTTATTAAAGTTACATGGCTACAAATTGGATATGTATCTGATCTAGGACCACATGTGAAAGTTGCTTAGATCTGATTTTTTTTAATCAGATTTTTTGCATTCACACAACTCTGAAAACATCAGGTCACATAAAGAGAAAAAAGCCAGATTTGTGTCACTTCTATGTCGTAATGTGAACGTGACTCTTTGTCTGAAATTCACAATACAAGTCTGAAGGCTTTGTAAACACAGCAGGGCAAATCAGGTTCCCTAAAATATCCTTTTTAGAGTGTTTTGTATTTGAGTGTTCCGATTTCAAGTTACAAGCGACCAAATCTGATTCGTATGGTCAGACTGTAGACACATTTGCGACTACACAGATACAGTACTTGCAACGGTTGTCACAGTAACGTGTGAATATACTGACTAGGAAGCTGCAGGCTAAACTTAGCGAATGGGTCCCATTTATGAGCTCAGATGTTGATGTGTACTTAATGACTGTAACATTCTGACAGCATGAACCACCATGCCCTGATGAAAAAACACCACGTGAAGCTGCATGTACATAAATGTGATTTGAATATATCATTGTAACATAATCAAAAATCTGAAGACATTTTAGATGTAGGCACAAGTAATTGCAATTTGAATAATATGCAGCCAGGGACAAGTTGATTTTCATGGAACAAACAAATTTATAAGGAAAAACAAATTTTCCATTTACCCCAGTTGTAGTTAATCAGCCAAGACATGTTTGGAGTCATTTTGATTTTTTGCCTCTAGCCATTGGCTATCATTGCTCACAAACAACAGAACTGAATAGTCACCCAAATCTTTTCCATAAATCTGTCCCCAAAACATCTCTCAACCTGCTTAAACAGCATCCAGGTCTTTTTAAGGTTGCACAGGCCTGCTGATGTGGTTTAAAGCACAGTTTGACCTGCTGTGAACTATAAAAAGCAAACAAAACAACCCTGCTACGGGCAGCCATTTCAGAAAACAGCAGGGCTGGGATTCACAAAGCAGGACTGATCTTGGATCAATTTCCTCCGTATTTATGATATGGCCATTGTCACAAAAACTGATTCTAGAGGTGGTTTGTGAATAAAGACCCTATTGTGTAAAGTTGCTGCCAGCAATTTTGCTCATTCATCTAGCTCACACTAAGTGTCTGTGTGTTCTAAACCACACATCAAGTCAGCCAATATGGAAAAAAAATATATATGGACATATATTTTTATATATTTTAAAAACATTTCCAACACTAAAATGTATTTTAGAATATATTGCCATATTAACTGAATAGATGTTAAAAATATACTAATTTTAAAATGTATGGAAATATTATACATAGACATGTACTATAGAAAAGTAAATACGTGAAATACATCAAATACATGTGAAAATGTAAGAAAATAGCAAAAATACTTGTTTAATGCACTGTTTGGAGTACCTTTTAATTAATTTGTGTTCCAGTATCTTAATTTTATATATTAGCAAATGGACCTTTGACATAAATGACAAAAGCAAGCATTGCAGGTATTGATACACTTTGAAAATGCAGTTATGATTTGATATCTTGCCTATTTGAAATACATTTTGTGTGAACACTATCTCACCACATATCACATACAACAGTTAATGCAAAGTACAGTGCGAAACACAAAAGTCAGTACCGTTCATTCAGTTCATATATATTTAGTTGTATCTGTAACCTTTGTTAAAACTACATGCATTAAAAAATATATAATAACAAATAAAAAATAAATGTATTTTAAAAACGCATTTCACAAATACTTTTTTTGGCCATTTTCATACATTGCAAAAATATATTTGACGGATACATTTGGAATATAAGAACAATAAAATAAAAAGCCTGGAGATGAGACGGGGTGTGTGGAGCCAATACAACTTAGAAAATATAATTTTAATGGATTATGGTACAATTATGTTCCCTGACTAAAGGTACTGAGATGTACCCTTGAGGGTACCACCCCAGTGACAAGAGAGGTACTGCTCCAGTGATAGTTTTGTACCTTTTTCTGAGAGTGCAGACGCTGTTTAAGTAGGTTGAAAGGAACTTTGAGGATGTTTTTTTACAGAAACAATTTGGGCTATTTGAGTGACTATTGACTTCTAGTGTTGTTAGCAACATTAGCCTCGCTGCTCGAGTCCTAAAGCACAATTTGGACTCCAAACATGTCTTGGCCCAACAACTACATCAGGTGTCGGTGGAAATTTGTGTAAATTTGACTTTTCACTGTATCACTTCTTCAAGAACAAATAGTTTAAAGCTAATATGATGTTAGACTAGTTCATTTTTATTATGTTTTATCGTGAAGCTGTAAAAATGTCCCCTCAAGAAACAGTTTTCAGTCCTGTGGGTCCCTAAATTTACCCCTGCGACTATGTTTGTACTCATTAGAAGGAAAACATTTGCTCTGCAGTTCTTCTCAGTTTGGAGTCCCTGTGGTAAAATGAACATATAACAGCTTTTAAGATTCATCTCTAAGTGGTTGTTTACCGACCCGGGCTGAGGCAGCTATTTCGGTTACATTGCGTTCAGATGGAAAAATATGCTAGAGGGTAGCATATCATGAAAGCGCTTTTTATCCAACAAGTGAAAAGTGGATCAATGGGAAGCTTTAGGCTCGCTAATCTGCCCTGGGTTGATACTTACAGAAACGGCTTCCTTGGAGTCCATACAGCCAAGCGCAGATACTCATAAACAAATCAATTGGTAGCAGCATTTATGTGAACAGTGGCCTGTGTGAGGCTTTCGGCATGCTTTTGTGGTAGTTTAGCAACACTGTATCAATTGCATAATGCATGACACCAATTAATTGCAGATGCTCCCTTTAATACTGTTTCCGCAGCGATTAAACGCGGGCGGAGCTACGGCAGCCCATTTGTGTGGTGCAGGGTTATATGGGTTAATTGAGCAATCCACGCGAGGCAGTCTATGAATATGCAAAGGCTGCAGTGGTGCCGGGGACGCGGCCCGAGTTAATGTATAGAGACAGGAAATTGAACTGTCACCACAGAGGAGGAAGTCCATACTCCTCTGGGACACGGTTTGCAATACATTCAGGCTAGGAGGGGAGCCACTGCTGTGGAGCTGATGTTTATCTTTTGTATTAAAATGAGATCGTACGTTAATTAGACTGTAGGTGTTAAACAGAGAGACTGTGCTCATGCATTAGAGAGAGAGAACATCAGTCATCTTCACTCTGATTACCAAACAACCATATGCCACGTATTAAAGATAGAATGGACTGACGCATTTTCAAGGCTCAGACTCATTCTCATTCCTGTTCAAGCCCTAACATGATTTCAGGATACATTCACGTTGTCTCTTCAAGTCTTGTTGCTCGAAATGTTTTGCACAGTTCTGATTTTTTTGCTCAGATCCAATCTTTCTGCATCGTTGATTCGAACTCGTGTTTGTGAGTGACCCATATCTGTCATTAGTCTGAACACACCTGTGCCCTGTGCCCTAATCTGCATGCACACACTGGATGATAAGCACAGTGATACTGTGATATACACAGTGAAGTGGTATGTAAGGAAAAAAAATAAATAAATAAAGGAAAACATGGATGTGTATTCAATATGCATCCCGTTCAGGAGCATATATGAAAGTAGCTCAAGTCTGATTTGAAAGGCTCTGATTTTTCTGTTGTGATAACTAGGGAAGGGCCAAGCATTCACAGGTTTTTTCTTACTCTGTTTTTCCATGATAATGAGCTATTTTTAATTCGTTTTCTTGACGTCTGGTTATATTTATGTCATTTATGTCACAGCAAAACACGTTATTTTCTCAAGATCTCAAATTATTTATATCAGTGTGTCCCAAACGTCTCTGCAAAGGGCAGGTGTGGCTGCAGGTTTTCATTCCAACAGTGCAGGAGCACATGTGATTAATTGCTGAAGACCAACTGATTAAAAAAGTGGAACCAGTTGAGCTCCAGCTCGTATGGCATGAAAACCTGCAGCCACACCGGCCCTTTGCGGATAAGAATGGACACCCCTGATTTATATCACAACATAACAGACGTAACAGATTTGTTATTTCATGATATTGGCATAAATATCTCAAGATCTTAAGAAAACAACAGAGGGCATTTACATGCACTTAATAACCGCAGAAAATTTGATTTTGTCAGTAATCCGTTCAACGTGTTTACATGCACTTGAGTAATCAGATAATGGTAATCAGATAAAACTCCGGTTCTACATGAGTCAGGTAGTAATTAGACTTCTGCTTTGCAACCAGCCAATAAACTCAGAGAATAAGACTGTAATAATGTAAACGTGATGTAAAACTGTCATTGAGTCATTTTAATGGAAAATGTAAATATACGTGAACTAGAAGATGAATTCCATTTCCTCATTTCATCAAGCATTTAGTTGCTCCAAAAGTGTTTTGTTACCATCTCATGGGTACTGTGTTAACGCTACTTGCTATTTCCTTGCAGTGGTCTATTTTCACACATAAGCAGACTGAGAAAAACGAAAGAAATCAGGGTAAGGGTACACATGCTCTGAAAAACTCAATTACAGAGCTAAAATCCAGCAATCTTAGTCAGATTTCTACGACTTCATCCAATCTAAGCAAATCGGAGTATGCTGTTTACATGACCACTCAAATAATCAGACAACTGTTGAAATCCCATAACGATCGGATTATTAAGTGTATGTAAACGCACTCATTGTGACATGATAATGATACAAATTACTCTAGATCTCGAGAACACAAATGAAAATAACTTGTTATTACGGAAAAACAGAGCATGCAAAACAAGGTCCTTTATGGCTTCCATAGAAAACACCACATCTGTCAAATTTAAACAAAAAAATCAAACAGATTTACACCAGTTCACCCCTGTAATGTGAACGTGCTAATCCTACAAACTGTTCATGAGATTTTTGTCGGATTTTCAGTGATTTCAAAGCAGATTTTAAACGTTACTGTAGCTTTCTGTTTGGAGACTCTCTTTATCCCAAAGATGTAGGAGACTGGTCTTGTATGTGTGGAAGTAATTGTCCAGGGGTGTTGCCAAGATGGCCACTAAGTGAACAGACAGCCACCTCTTACTTTCGATGTAGCACTCTATTCGATTCTTGTTATTTAAATAGGCAACTGATTTTTTGGTTAGGAATTTAAAAATAATAAAGCAGATTATTAAAAAGATTATTATAAAGTAGAAGTGTTATTTCTACAGCTTTAGCTAATAAAAAGTACTGGAAATGTGCTAATGTCTTCCATGTGTTCATTTAGCACACACAGTGTGACCTTCAGTTAAAAAAAAAACACAAAAAAGCCAGATAAAAGAAACAGTTCATTGGCCAATTGGGCTGTAAAGAAAATCAGAATTGACCAATAAATTTCATGATCAGTGCACTTTGTGTTCACACTATTAATAACAGATATGGCTCACAACAAAACAAACACAACGGTAAACCACAAAAGCAGAAGGATCGAATCTGAGCAAAAAACAGGACTGAGCAATGAGGCTTGTAATGTGAACACAGCATGTGGCACAAATCCCATATAATAAAAAAGATCTGATTTTGGCTGTGTTTACATTACTAGGTTAAAGGGGCACAAATCCGATTTTTTTTGCATTAATGTGACATAGACCTGATGTTTAAGAGCAGCATGGATGCCCAAATCTGATTCTTTTAAAATCAGATATAAGCAACCATTGGATGCATATCTGATTCATGTCCATGCAAACGTAATGAGAATGATCAGATCTGATTTTTTTTACTGCACACGCACATATTTCCATACTCCTCCTGTGTTTACAGCACGGCAGCAGCAGCTAACCTGACGTTAGTCCCAGTCATAGCTGCAAAGCCATTAATGCATCCTGCCTTTTTTCACCATCTCCCCTAATCCCGAACAGCTGAGGGTTGATCAGAGCTAATAATCCCTGTGATTAAGGCTTGTGCTGCTAGCTTGTTTATTTGTTGTTGTTGTTGTTCATCTTCTTGATGCACACGGATCACTCACATAACATTGTGATTAGGATGCGCACATGGTGATCGTGTCAGGGAGCAGGTTTGTTTACATTAAAAGGCAGATAGGGGTCATTTACACACAAATGTGAACCAGAAAGACTGGAAAGAAGAGAAACATCAGAATTGAGCAATAAGATTAGTAATATGACCTTGTCTTTGTGTTCACACAGCTTTAAGAAAATCAGATAACAGTGGAGTCCAAAAGCCTGAAACCACATTAAAATTTTATTTAAACCTGGAAATAAACAAGAGAAACCTTTAGCATCTTTTAGCATTTTAAAACAAAGAAAAGTTCTGACATTAAAATGAAGAAGGAATATTCAAAACACTGCACTATTTCTAAGTCACTATTCAAACTGGAGGAAATTAGAGACATTGACCATGTTGAGGCCTTTGTGAAAAAAAAGGTAAGAGTGTTCTTTTATTTTATTTCTTCCACTGAAACTCGTGTTCAGATGACTCTCAGGAGGATTTGATCTACTTATCAGAGGCTTTTGCACAAATGGAGTCCATTTAAGGGGGATATACCACCAAATACTTAGAAATCCTGAATTCTTTATGTAAACATTCCAAGATTTTCAATCAAATTGTTATTTTGATAACATAATTTGTGACGCAAAGGTTTGTATTAAATTAGAAAGTGGTCTCAGACTTTTGGATCCCCACTGTATGTCACATTTAGGCTAACAAATCAGATCTGTGTCTTTTTAAACTTCAACGTCAAAGCAGACCAAGACCCTGTTTACACCTGGTGCCTTGAGTATTCGGATAATATCCGCATAGAGTTTATCCACATAAAGATAAAATCGTTGATGCACCCAAAACGCATTTAAAACAGATTTAAATCTGTCTCTCCAAGCCACATTCGACAACCCAAACCTCTTCCCACACTGTGAATGCACCTCTCTCCGCTTAGCGTGAGTTTTCCCCCCTGTATTTACTTTGGCAACCTGCAGCAGCCTGAGTGAGTTAAAGTGCCAGTTTGGTTCATCTTTACTTCAGCTTGTCATTAGTCACTGTTTTGCTACAATACATTGCATTTTAATGCATATAGTCCATGATTATGATGACTAATGCAGGATTAACAGCCGTCTTCTTGTAAACACGTGTAAAGCTGGGCTAAGAAAATGAGTAACGGCATGCAAAATTGTGATTTTGGAGGTGGCAAACATCTTTTGAATAGAACAGCAAAAAAGAGGATTGAGGTTGTATGAGCCTGATTTGCATATTATATGCCATACATCAATCGGAATTCAATCTGACTAAAGCCTTGGGTTCACTACACGATTTTGAAGTCTTAACAGATTATAAAACGACTACTTCCACTATATACGGCTCACTGACACAGTAAAGAAGCAGCACGTGAACATGTTTAAGTGAGGCTCATGGATTTAAAAATGTGATCAGTGTAGTATTTTCTATTGTTTTGAATGTACATAAACTCAATTGTGCTTGCGCCTTAAACTCAGCACATTAAAAGCTTCTTCTTCGTGACTTTTTGCCATTTTTCTTTGTTTACTTGCTGTATTTTCTTCTTTCATGCTCTCAGTTTTCAGCAGTTGTTGCAGGAGTCCGTTCAGATTGAGTTGTTGACCAGTTTACACTACTAGATTATGCTCGGGTCGAAAAAAATCAAACATGTTTGATATTCTCCGACTGGTCTGAAACATGAGTGGGAGGCCAAAAATCTGAGTCTGCGCCCCTCACACACTTTTTGATTCTCTCTCTGTCGACTCTGACTGACCCAAAAATTTGTAGACAAGAACCAACTAGCACAGACTGAGAATCGGGGCTAAAAAAGTTATGTAGTGTAACCCCAGCTAAACTAGACATGCACTTGACTACCAAATGTAAATGTATGTGGATAGTCTTATCAGGTTATAATCTAGATATAAGTCACCAGGTGTAAACAGGGTCAAAGTGGCTCAAGTGTGATTTAAAAAAAGATCAGATTTTTGTGTTCACACTGCTCCAAAAAAATCATATTTAGACAAAAATCAGATAATGTCAATGCAGCCTGTATAATAGATATATAGTCACTACAGAGTCATATAGTGTATAGTCACTGACCTGCGTGCCGTGAATGATGCCCCGTGGTATCTCTCTCAGGCCGATGGAGCCGCACTCAACTGTCAGGCTGTAGCAGCGGCAGCCTGAGGGGCAGCCCAGAGAAGATGAGGGGAACAGGGCCAGCAGAGCCAACAGTGTGGGAATATGGAGGAGGAGGAGAGCCATCTCAGAACAGACAGCGCCTGAGGAGGAAAAGAGGCATAGATACTGTAAGAAAGAGAGAGAAAGAGGGGGCTGAGGTGGAAGAAATGGGATTAGAGAAAGGAGGTGGGTTGAAAGAAAAGGGAGAGAAAAAGAATGATGTACAGGGAAGAAAGAAGAAACATGAAAGAGGAGGAAAGGAGAAAGAGAAGGACACAGGGAGCAAGAGACTGAGGGAGTGAGAGAGAGAGAGAGAGAGAGAGAGAGAGAGAGAGAAAGATATGTGTACCATTCTTGCTGTAGCGCATTGACAATGTAAATGTGAATCTGTTATGTCAATAAAGAACACATTGAATTAAAGTGAATTAACAAAACAACAGAGAGACACAGAGAGAGCAACAGAGACAGAGAGAGAGAGAGAGAGAGAGAGAGAGAGAAAGATGGAGAACTCAGAGAGAGACACGAGATAGAGAACCAGGAGAGATAACTGGGACAGAGAGAGAACAGAGAAAGAGAAATGAGATACTGAGAGGTCAACAGAGAGAGAAATGAGAAAGATAACTGGGAGAGAGAAATGAGTCAGAACACAAGATAAAAAGAGAATGGAGAGAGAGAGAGAAATGAAATAGAGAAGAGAGAGAGTCTAGGAAAGAGTAGAAAGCAAGAGAAAAACGGAGACTGGAAAGGAGAGAGAGACATTAGATTGAGAAAGAACTACAGAGAGAGACTAGGAAAGAGAGTAAAAAGAGAGAGACACAGGGACTGGGAAGGAAAGAGAAATGAGACAAAGAGAAATGAGACTGAGAGAACAACAGAAAGAGAGAGAGAGAGATGAGACTGTGTGAACAGAGAGAGAGAAATGAGACTGGGAGAACAACAGAAAGAAAGAGAGAGAGAGAGAGAGAGAGAGAGAGAGAGAGAAATGAGAAAGAGAGGTGTTAGGAGAGAAGAGCGAGCTGATCACGCACGCAGCGAGACACGTGACAGCCTGTCACAACCTGATGGACAACCAGTGAGAGCAACCAAATAACTGTTATTGATTATTACTGATTATTATATATCCTGACATTTGTCTTGACCCGTTTATTTTCCTTTCCTTTTTCTTTGATTACTAATAACCCTGTAAATAACTTATTTTCTAGTGTTCTATTATAATCTATAATATCATCTTTTTCTTATTTATTTATATGTGTTTCTTATTAACTGCTTTGGCAAAAGTGTATTTCATTACATTCATGCCAATAAAGCACTGTTGAACTGAACTGAACTGAAAGAGAGAGAGAGAGGAAGAGAGAGCGAGAGAGAGAGAGAGAGAGAGAGAGCGAGAGAGAGAGAGAGAGAGAGAGAGAGAAATGAGACTGGGAGGACAACAGAGAGAAAAAAAGAAAGAAAAAAATGAGAGAGAGAGAAATGAGAGAGAGAAAGAGAGAACTGACAGAGAGAAATGAGTGAGAGGGAGAAATGAGTGAGAGAGAAACAGAGAGAGACTGGCAGAGAACACTTTCTTCTTCACTGTGTTCAACAATTCAAACAGACAAGGGAAATTTACACAAACAAATTCAGAAAGCTGATCCCAAACTTTAAAAGATGTACACAAATTTAAAAATTACGAATAATCCCTGGAGAGGGGCACACAGCCCCCCTCGCTGCTAAATATGTAACACATCACCGCATGAGAGACAGTTGGTAACAACCCCCCCCCACACACTCTAGTGACCTCCACCCTCTCTATACCCGACCCTTCTGACTGCCACCCCACATACCCACACCCTTCAGAGATGAAGGGGGGGAACAACAGATAGAGACAAAACAACCATGAGAGAGAAAGAGGGGGAAATGGAGAAAGAGACAGAGATAATGAGAAAAAGGGAGAGAGCAACAGATGAAAAGAAACTGACAAGAGAGGAAAAGAGAGACTAAAAAATGAGAAGATGAAAAAGGAATGAGAAAGAAAGAAAAGACAAGCTAGAGTGAGAGACAATGAAAATAAGAAACATGAGAAAGAAAGCAAGAGAGACTAAAAAGGAGAGAGATAGACTAGAAGGAAAGAGAGAGAGATAGACATAAAGAGAGACTGAAGAAGAGGGAAGGACAGAAAAAGACAGACAAAAGAAGAGAGAGAGAGAATGTGAGCAGTCTGATTGGATATATAATGCATGAGCAGCACGCTTAAGTGAATTGGAAAATGGAATATCATGGTGAAGAAAAATGGAACAGTGTGGTGAAAAGGAGCGGCGTGTTAATAAGACTCTACAGGAAAAATAGAGAAAAAAAGCAGAGCGGAGGGAACAGAATGATACGCCTGATGACAGCAAGCCACTCAGCTGCACTCAGGCCTACAGAGGAGCTCTCTGAGGAGCAATCTTCACTGTTTCTGCTGGGCTTCACTTAATTAAACATATGTGTAGAGGTGCACACAGACAGCCCCGAGAAGCTCACTCACTCTCCCCAACCACCCCACCCCTCCCCCGCCCCTCTCTGCCTCCACTGAATAGATGAGGTGTAGTGCCTCTCGTACGCCCCGGCACACACCTCACCATTTCCCCCGAGGGAGCTCTCTCACTGTAATCATCCCAAGATCAAAAAGTGCTGCCTGTGAGGCTTTTTCTGTCTCTCCCTCCCAGCTGCCTCTTCATTTTCAATGAAGACATGGGCTATGAACACAGACCTGTAGATTACAGCCTCCGGTGCCAGGTTTAAAGCTAAGCTTGGATGTAAATCCGACAAGACTCAGTCGAAATCGGAATCGAGTTCTGAGTTGAGCCCAGACAGATGAAGAGGATGACGGAATGCTGATCAGAACGTGAGCTCTCTGAAAGAATGCGAATGAAGCACAACGTGCAAAAAAGCCAAAGAAAGCAAAGGGAAATCTCAGATTTCAGACATCAGAGTAGGTCTCGACTGTTTAACAATCCATTGATGCACCCAAAGGAAGGTGCATTGATCTTGGAATCAGAATGTGGGTTTGTTTACAGGTGTCATAATCAAAAGCACTCAGTAGAATGAATTGTTGAATCAGCTGTCATAATTATATTAAAAAAGTATGCAGTACGCAGTTATAAATTCCTCAGCCTACTTTCCAATGTAAAAGTCCTTGATGCTTTTTTATTTTTATTGTCTGTATTTGTGTATTGATTGTATTTTAAAAAAATAATCTCAACCAGAACAATCTCCACTCTTTAAAATAAAAGCGTAAAAAGGGTTCTCTTGAGATGCCAAAGAAGAACCCCTTTTGGTTTCCTTTCTGAGAACCTTGAGAGCCCATCCATTGTTGTAACGTCCAGACAATCTGCTAGGCCACCTCCGGCTGCTAGGAGGGGCCAGAGAGCCAAGACTGAGTAATTAGGGCTGAGTGGTACTAGTGGTGTGTGATACTGCAAAATTTGGTATCGATCCGATACTAAGTAAACACAGGGTCAGTATCGCCGATACTGATACCGATACGTTTTACTTATAAAAGCAGCTTATGTACTTTCATGTAGGCTAGAGCAGTGTGTCATGATTTATGAGGTGAATCTATCATCAATATGCTAAATCTGAATACATTTTAATGCCCACTAAGTGATTTTTGCTTTCCACTGTTAATTAATCATGAACATGTCTAAACCCAGGACAGCAAAGTTTTTAGGCAAATAAAAAATATTTTTTAATACTGTAATGAACTTAATTTGCCAACATGAATTCTGCACGAAATTACTGGAGAACAATGAATGTTTTAAAACTTATACTCTTCTTTTCTTCGACCTGTGTTTTTTGTTCAGGAACAATTAAATAATCTTGGATAATCTTTGCCTCTCCGAAAGGACTCTGCCAGTGTGTCTCTGTGCTGGGGGTCTAGGTCTGTGTGAGGGATTTCCCTCCTCTTCTCTCCATTTCTTTTGCAGCTCAGAGTTCTCTTTTTTCGTGGTTTTTCATATGTTTGTATAAATGAGTGGTGTTGCCACAGTAGTGAAAAGCCTTCTTACACACATCACAGTTTGCAAGGTTTTTATTTACAGCTATAAAATATCTCAGAACGATGCTCTTCTTTCTCTCTGTTATGCTCTCAATCACTGCAACCTGCAAGTGTCCGCTCTTATTGCCGCTGAGTCACGTGACAGCACCGCTGAGTCACGTGACAGCACGACAATGAAACAGCAGAGCGAGGGAGGAGGAGGAGCACAGTGTGCAAGCAAGATGTGAAAGGAGCTCACACATTGCTCGCTGTTCAGTCTTGAGTTTTGCCGCCACGTGCATGTTGCTCTGACTCAGCCAGTAACCTCAGTATCTGTCTCGAGTTTTTGAGTCTTTGCTTTTCACAAATGGTTCTCCAGCATAAGTGTTATATAAAAAAAAAGTGTCTTGAGTGTGTCTCACTCTCCATGTTTAGGGAGAGGTGAGTGTGAGATTAAAGAAGGGAGTTTTTTGGATTCAGGTTTGGGGAGCTCTCAGATGACCCGGACTGAGAGTTCCCCAAACCTGAATCCAAAAACCTCCCTTCACAGCCATTATCCTCTTTGGTGGCATGCTGTGTAGTATGATAGTATGGTAACGGTGAGCAGAAGCGCTCGGGTGGCCAGTTACTTTCCTTGTTGACCGTATTACCTCTTTGTTTCATTTCTTGTCTGGTCTGTTTTCCCGGCTCTTAGCCCCTTTCGTTTCGTTGCACCTTTCTCGTAGCACTACCGACTACTAAAATAAGAGTCATGAGTTCGATCCTCACTCAGGGTGAACCCCCTGGTGCATCACAACTGTAAGCAGGTACTTCAAACTGTATTTCAGAACAGATTACTGATATAATTTGTACTCTAACTCCTAGATTACTTTCCATTGCTTTTGGATTACTTAAATCCAGGGGTGAGAAGTAACAAAGTAACTTAAGTATTTTTTAAGTATCTGTACTTAAGTATTTCTGTCACTTGATACTTTTTACTCATTTCATTTAAAAAAAAATCTGTACTTATACAGATATATTATATATAATATCTACACTTTCAAACCAGGCTTGTTATTCTAGAATATTATTATTATTGTTTTTTTTAAATCAAACACATTCAATTCA